CCTTTGTAATTACCGTGTCGAAAGAAACAATTACCTGCAGTATAGCCTTATTGACCCAGTTAGAATCGAACTTTTGGATTCCATTCTCAGAATGTAGGACATTGGATGGACCTAATTACGTTTTGCTTACTTAGTTCTCTATTGAGGTTGTGGATCCCGAGAGGATTATTGTACTAGAGTGCTGAGAGTATCAACTGTGAATTGTGCACTCGCTTGGTCCCAAGACCATCGGCCACAACTCTAGAGATTACAAGAGAAATAGCATAAACATGAACCTAAAGCATCACCAGTTCTCAGATCAAGGTTCATTAACCACTTTGTAAGCCTCTTCGCAAGTATGAAATTTCAATAATGGAGGGCTTGTTATCATTTATTTTGTGAACCATTTTATTTTATGCTAATGATAGGCACGGTAGTGAATAATTTACGCAGTTAGGGGACGATATTATGAGCGTATTGGAGGATTCGCCCTGTCACGAAGATAAATTGATTGGTGTTATATCGGTAATCTCATTAGCTTAGGTCAAAACGATTAAATGTCACTAACCCGGAACACGAGGATTGAAATAAAAGGAAAATCTATTATTAGATGTTTTAATTTATACAATTCAAAGATCAAAGTGTTCATTGTGTGCTGTGTTATCATTTCGTTCGATCAGGCCTTGGCAGTAGACAAGTAATATTTTAGTGAAGCTACTGAATCTTTTATATAGGGTACGAATTTTCGCATGCGATGTACACAATGTTTTCGTTCAGTGCAAATGTGATCCTGGCACGGACTCAAGACGATGGACGACGCAAGGTCGCGGTTACTAGATAATAAAATAAAATTTACATAGATCAGTACATCTGACCTGAATGCAGATCTCCTCAACAAACTTGACCGTCTTCTAAATAGCTGCATTCGATTCGTTTCTAACTTACGTAAGTACGATCATGTGTCTGCACAGCGATCATGGTTGAAATGGTTGCCTATTCGTCAGCGCAGAGAGCTAAGGGCACTCACAACTTTATTTTCTCTGCTTTTCTCTCCCGCTTCCCCTAACTATCTAACTTCACATTTCCAGTATGTATGTGACAACCATACTAAAAATCTACGCTCTTCGCATAATCGGCTTTTGCACTGTCCTGCCCATCACAGTAACTTTACTCATTCTTCTTTCTTCATACAAGTCATTTCTCTCTGGAACACGCTTCCAACGAATGTCAGAACCGCAACCAGTCGTTTGAGTTTCAAGCGGAGGGCGCGTGAGTACATTAGCAGAAAGCTGGCAGTTTCATAACATCTTTTATTAGTTTTCATCTTGTTTTAATATAGGATAAATTCATATACGGCTCATAGATAGATTATATTATGTATGATGTTATTTATATCTATCTATATATATATGTATGATTATATATATTATTATATACGTATTTTATGTGTGCTTTGATGCTCCTTATTAATTTTGATAATTACCACTAACATCTTTGCAGCTTACCACCTACCACATACATTTCTGCACTACCCAAAGGATGACTGGCAGAGAATGCTGTTAGCATTAAGTCCTCCTTATGCAATTGTATTGTATAAAACTTAAATAAATAAATAAATAAATAAATACATCATGCGCGGTTTAATAAACAAAAACAGTCAATGCTCAAGGTTGTCTGCATGTTTTATGGGACGAGTCTGGAAAATCGTTTGAAGCTGGGAAGGTCATTAGCGGACACCGTGTGTAGGTATTGTAATCAATCAGAAAATTGCTTCTATTTATGGCGACCTTTATTTAACGTGTCTGTACCGGACTCGATGGGCATTGTCTTACCATTTCATCGAAAGTGTTATGGTTTCCTGACAGTCTGTGTTGATTTACTTCTTGTTGTGATCAAAACAATCATAAACTGATTGTTTTTTAAACAATAAACAATGTTGTGCTAGTCATTGTAATAATCTGATTTTTACGTGTAGGCAATGCGCAGGTAATAATTATTATCACCCACTTCTCAGCGAACTAAAATATTTTACAGCATAGTGCATTCACATTTTTTTTTAGTTTTATATGCAATCAAATTTAAACTTCTTACTATTGAGTAATATTTTGTCTGTACCTACCCACTAACAAAAATAGAGACATGATTTTTTCATAGCCTAGCGTTGTTGAAATAAGTACTCGTATATTCACATCGTCATAATTTCACTAGTTGTAAGTGCCAAGAAATATTTTTTTAATAATCTTTGAACGCAAAAACTGAGATTGGTGATTCATCGCGGATGTCACCGGGAGAAAACGGGAAAATACGCAATGTTATTAAACCCACTTCATTTCAAAATTAGAACGTTCAGTCTCGATTCATCCCGCGCGGCGCGTGCGCCGACTCGCGGTCCGTTGACGTTTGAATCGGAAACTATCATTCAAGAAATAAATATTATCGTTAGATCATATTTGAAATGAATGTGACAAACTCATCCGCTGTATAATCATAATCGCGTAAACTTGTTTATAGTGAGTAACACTTCGAAAATAAAAATTGACGTTTCGTGAAATTTGACGAGAAAGTGACATAGTTTTAAAATTGTGTTTTGAAGCGGTAACTCAAGGGTTTAATTGTAGGTGAATTACAATTATTAACATATCTGCAATCAATCTGCAATTGCTGTGAAATATTTTGCATGTTCTTCGTGTGAATTTTGCGTAATCTTTTTCCTGAAAAGTGGTTCGTCCTTAAGGGAAACAAAAAGGAAATACTTTAAAAACTTTTAGAGCTTTTATGAGTTAGCATCACAACAAACATATTTTAAACACACAAGGGAGTCGATTATCCTTTTCGGGGAAAGTTTATAGTTATTTTTGGAAACTCTAGTACAATCTTTTACAATTTATCGATGAATAAACATAACAATAAAAAGACATCTTCTTGACACCTTTAAACCTACCTGTGTGTTATTTATGGAATAGAAGGCAAATAAACGGACGGAATACCTAGTGGACAGCTAGCAGCAATATAAGGTATCAATAATACATTTCTACATTGTACAATTGTAGTTAAAAAAAAACAACAATGCAAATGCATCTATCAAAGCAAAACAATATAATCATACGAAACATAATAATATGTAGTTTGTTAACAATGATACGAGTTTGTAGTCAGTAAAATGTTAGGATGTCAGAATAGTCAGTATTTACCAAACAATACCTGACAATCGACTATTGTCATTAATTATTGTAATCACTTTGTGTTCCAATGTTGCGATGTTTTGGATATCTATTCATTGTGAAACATAATAATCGACTAATATGTATTAGTTTAGTAGTTTTACTTCTGTCTATTCAAAATATTTATTAGCCAGTTACTGTCACGCTGTTCCCTAAATGCCTCTTCTCTCAAGGACAAGGAATTAATCCCCATGCTTGTTCAAAGTGGATTGGTGATTTCAAACGAATAATTTCAAATTGTAATTCCCAGTTCCTTAGTTTAAATATTACAGATTACAAATCTTAAGTTCATCACTTATATACCAACAACCAATACTTTAATCTCCTTCGCGGTTTTTTAACAGAGGAAAATCATCGACTGACTTTTCCCGTCTAGGTGAGGCGGAAGGGAGTGTCAGACTCTTACTGACTAAAAACCACCCCGTTCCCACTCCTGCACTTCAAGCCGGTGTCCCGGTAACCTTTTTTACGTTCTCCGCGGCTCCGTATCGGCATCAGCCCTATTGGGCTCCATCCGTGGTGGTCTGATGGCTCTGTGAGGCGTGGTGTGCGAAACGCGCTCCTTCCCGATTATGTAACACATTCTTAACCATCTTTTGTTTTGGTCAATAATCTATAGTACAGCTTTCCTGTTAATTTTAAGTCACGTTTATCCGTCAGTTAGTTTGAATGTCATCGTAGTTCCATGGTTCTGTATGATGTCTCGTATAGGCTTATTATGTCATGGAGTAATGTTGCTCTGCTTTATGATAACACGAATAGAATATGTTCGATAAAAATGCCATTTGGTCAACTATCGTCTATCAGTCCATCCTCTGTTTGATACAAAATTTAGTATGTTGTTATGAACTGCAAAAAAGTTTAGTTGTGAGTTTAAAACAATGGCTCTTAAAAAAATGCGACTTTAAATTCCACAATACTTATGGTCTATGTCTGTAAAACAGACCGTATTGTACAAAATAAATTAATATTTATTAGAGCTAGTCTTCAATGTCTGGATTTAATTAAGTTCCTTCCATAAATAAGACGTTCAGCATGATTTATTTTATCTAATCTTTTAGATCGCCCATTTATTCGATGAAGTAAAGGCAATTAATGTATCATCAGGAGATTTTGAATTGGCTGATATTATTCATTCCCAGGATATTTGGTGTTGTAATTTAGTTGAAAAGAACTGAAAGTATTCGTATGTATTCGGAAACTTTAACAGAAAAAGAACGTGATACATATGTGGCTCTCGCAAACCTTTGATATATCGATGCACTGCGGACATATCGAACGTCAAGCATTCTCGGGCACTGGACTGACTCTATTAAATAGTTCCAGCGAAACAGACTATATAAATGATGATATCCCTCTTTTAGTGCACGTAGTGGCTTCTAAATAGATGGTCGGGAGCGATGACACCGCACCGAGAGTACCGACCATAGTTTTGTTGCATGACATTTACGTTTTTGGTTGTCCCGTCTGGACTGCGTCTGATTTATTTCAGCCGCCTTCATAAATGGCAACGAGTACAAATTCGTTCTCGGTAGACGAGGTTATTTCAAAATTAACCTTAGTTCATGTCAGTTATTTGTTTTGAGAAAAGATTTACACATGTAACACCAACACGGCGGTTTCAAAATAAACAGAATAACTCTATAACGGCAGAGGAAAATTAAATTTAAAGTATTCCATAAGGCTGAGCATGGCTTATTCGAAATGAGAGGTAGAAGCATGGTCGGCTCCCTCGGTGACCCTTATCACACACCTTTCACCACCTGCGGACAGGCTTCGCTACAATTTGATACCCGTTTTTAAAACATCAAAACATTTTCATATTGTATTCCCTTCGTTCCTACACGAAAAAAAGCAATAAGCAACGTATAAAATATATGCTTTGCACCTGACACACGTTAGCAGAACGCGCCCTTATAAATATGTACATAGGTACGTTATTTTCAAGCGGTCTGAATTTTTAATTTTCTTCGCCAGGGTTAGAAAAATGTTTACATTGCTTTATTCGCACGATTGCAGAGTTTCCAAAAATAACTTCTTTGCCTAGCGCCACAAGGTTTGTTTTCCATGAGCACCACGTGAACGCGTGCAGCGGTCAGATGATTGCAGATTGAAATCAGATACTCAATACGCCCACTCGTCGACAGACGCAATTCATTATTCTACTTTTACTGTCGCACTGAAAGTTACACATACATATTTATGTCTCTTGAATAATAAACAAAGTTATTCAATCGGTGTAAACATAACTCTCGGGACAATGGAGTGCGGCCGTCTCAACAACGGCTTGAGGTGGAGCGCGTACTCTTCCGCGTCATCAGACACAATCATGCCGCCCGTAGTGATCGAAGACTTGTGCGGAGACGAGCAGTACCCGGTGACCGACAATTATCTGATAACTTTCCCGGAAGAGGATAGCGAGCCCGAATCAGCTCGTGACATCAAAAAGCGGATTTCCGAAGAAATAGACATCTTAAACGAAGCTCCTAAACTTCTTAATCGTTGTTACGAAAACCCTCTTTTCATTCCGGCCAGCGAAGTTTTAAAAGACGAGATAAGTGACGACGGGGACACTGAGGAACTAATGAAGAGTGAGGCAAAAAAGTTTGAGGATTATAAGTTTTGTGAGGCAGTTAACGACTTCGATATCGAGTTGGAAGCGGGGGAGGCGGTGCCTATAGTGTACCTGTCGACGACGCGAGCCGCGCGCTTGCAGAGGGCACTGCGGCTCGGCGGATACAAAAAGGTGGGCTCTTTATTAATATCGCTGCTGTTCTCTTATGGAAACATTTTTGACGCTTTTTCTCATTGTGTCAAATCTTATTGGAGTCAAAGTTCGTGACAGCTAATTAACATTTCATTTTCTTTTTTGTCGCGTCTCGTTTTGATGTGTTCAATGAGATAATATTTTGTTTCTGTTTCGACGGGATGAAATTGAAATGTCACAAAAATAACGAACGTTCGTTGCAACAATATTGTGAAAAGTTTTCAATTAGTGGTACATTGTATACAGCGCGTTATCCGGTGTAGTGTCTCGTCTAGCTCGTTAATTACTGTTGTTAATATAATATTTCATGTATGTAGGTTGGAGTAGTTAGTGCGGATGGGTGGTACTTTGATCCGGTACTTCAATAAATACATGTAATACAGCTCACAGTACAATATATCGATCATAACGGCGAGGTTTCGTGGAAGAAAATGTTCTATTTGCTGACATTTACGAACTTTCATTTGATTAATATTGGCCCAGTTGTACAGCCTCTGGATAAGTTTGGATAAATTATGTGACAGAGAATGACGGAGTTCTGGATTATTTCCAATTTATGAGCCTAGTATTCTGTGCAGGTTCTAGACTAAAAATACCTTTACTGTTATAAATGTCTTCGTATTTCTACTAGGCGTTGTATCAATCTGCTGACTATCACTATAACTGACGATAACTGCTCTTGCGAGTAGTTTAAATTAAATATACAGCCTTGTAAATAAAATTACAGTAAAATACTAGGTACTTTAATTTCCCTTATAGTGAATACATAAACACATAGGACTTTATAAGGAAGTGATAAAGTCTACGTATACTTAGAAATTATAGTCTTGACCGTTAATTTTAACAAATCTTCCTTGTTCATAGAATTCTTGTAATTGGTTGGAATAGCACAGTCTGTAGTGATTGCATTTAATTTTATTTCCCCCATAACATACACTTTACCAATGAACATAAAACTTATTCGAATTCATTATTATAGTATGACTGTGAACATGTATTCGATAAGGTAATAAGTTTGGATATTATTTAAAAAAAATAATGCTTTTTTACCATTTATATCCGTTCCACGAAATGTTGTCGGTATAGTATTAATTCTACATTCAGCCAGTTACATGGTTCAATACTTTTTTCATAATAAAACAAACCTTTTTAGAATAAAATAAAAAATGAAATGCATTTAAATTTCGAATTCCGTATTGGTCAAATAAAACTCGGTAGCAAGTCGTGCGCGAGCTCTCGATGCGAACCACGCCACGAATTCACGGTATGCTGTACGATTTTAATTAGCACTGTCAGGAACTACATCCAACATTCACCCTACTGCATTATTCGTGTAATTTTGTTTAAATTGTGTTTTTCATCCCTGCAGCACGCAGGTGTAACACCCATTTGATGAAAATGAGGTGGTATTAAAAGCACCCATATTGTCGCATTACGTTTTAATTAATTTCGCTTTAAAAAAGAATGTTAAACGTCTTTAGCTTTAATAATATAGTTGCTTTCATCAGCTTGGCATAATTATGTATGAAGAATTAATTGAGAAGAATAACGCCAAGATAAACACATATGTTGACTGAATCCACAAGGCTATTCCACCAATCTAATTAAAAATACTAATTCTACGAAGAAATACAAAATCAAAAGTCCGAACAGTTAATCAAATGAGTACTGGAAAGGTTCTCTAAACATCTTACAACATTCATGAATAGAAGGACCGCTCATTTATACGTATCAGGAGGAAACGAGAACAATCCTAGTGAAATCGGATCGAAATCAAATAAGCCTTTTATTGTGTCAATCCGAGTCTTTAAGATTCATTCGGGTCCGTCCGTAATGTAACAGGCTGCTTGAGTCTATCCAATATACGGCGTTCAATTCCTTAAACCTTTCTAAGCCGGTTTTAAAAGACGGAATAAAAATCCGCCTAAGTGCTAGTCAGAAACACGTACTCTTGAATCCGTGCCAATTCATATGTCTGCAACGAAAACCCTATTTAGAGTTTGTCGTTCAGTGTCTTTACTGGAAAAATGTAAACCGGGGATTTTTAACTCACTATGCCAGTTAAAAATCCCCGGTTTTAGATTTTCTTGTCGTGTAGCCGATAGTGATTATGGACTACTCTACAAGAAAATCTTACTTTAATGCTTAGTTCTGGCAAATAATAGTATATTCTTTAAGGCTAGATACTATTTTTATTCAATTTTTTTAATACTAGTTTGGAGTCCAGTGCCTATCGTGATCAGGGTTTAGGAATAAGTTCCCTAGTCATTATAATACGTAACTACTTGACTAATAACATGCCAAGAAAAGTACTAACTGGCGAGATTATATAGAATAAAACGTGTGGCTCCTTTGATCAGAGACATAAATGAATACTATAACTTGATAGCTATGCTTATTAATATCCCGGATTAAATTCTACTAATTACTTGCTTCCATATGATGGGAAAGAATTACGTACCACCTAGCTTGTGAGAACTAAAACGAGAATGACTGGATCAGTCCTCACTTTGCTAATAAATTGCAATCATCTTATCGAACGCTAACATAAATAGTTCTTAGATCTGTGTTCTTGTTACTTTTGTTCCAGCTAATTGTGACTTTTAATAGTCTTATGGTGTTCTCGTTGCAATAAACTAAACATTATAAAATTTACATTTCGTTTATTCATGCTTTTAAGTGTAATAAATATAATAGTTACGCTCATAATACTTAAAATAGTATAAGTATAAATTAGAATAAAAATACGTATCAATTAAAAGTTAACAAAACTCCCTCATTTTGAACTCAAACTTTATAAATGCACCTCACTTAAGCAAAGCGTTCTTCACCGCAGTGGCTATACGTTTGAACTTGCCTCATTATATGAATGGTCCGTTTACCGCCTTCAGAAAATTATAAATCATTTGCTAAAGATTTTAATTAATCTAGACGAGCCTTCAAAACCAAGGCTCGTTATGAAATATAAATTAATTTTCCAAACTATTGCCGATGAATTAAACGAACATAAAACTTAATTTCTGACAAATTGTTCGTGAACAACTAATAGTCATTTGTGAGGACAAACAATCTGAGGGTCGAATACTTGAAACAGAAATGAGATTAGACCTCTGTCACGAGATCTTGAGTCCATTTGTGTTCAAAGTATCATTGATGAGGTATCTGTAGATATAAGAGGTGCTTAAGCTCGAGAGCTTCATGAAAAAGGAATGAAGAAAGATTTCTGCGAAAAATATCTTGCTGTCAGTGTCACCGTATCTTTATGGTGTACTGGTATAAATCGGGATAATGAAAATCATGTCATATTTTGGACGAAAAGTTTTCTATACAATGCTCATAAAAAATAATCAGCTTCATCATTTATTTATTAGAATTATTTATTAAAGACCTTCGACTCAACGCAAGACATTGAAGGAATGAACTGCGGAATTTCTTTTAAAAATTCCGCATAAAGTATTTATCCATTTCGGGCAACGTTGGCCAATTCCTACACTATAAACCTTAAGTTATTTAGTCACCAACATTGTTAACGAATTTCAAAGGCATCACAGCTCGTTTGGTGGTACGAAAGCCGCACTACAGTTAATCCCCATTCACATTACCTGAGTCTCTCCTTTCAAAGACTTTAATATGGCATCTCAGTGCCGGATGTTTTGATTAAACGAATATAAGATGCAAGGCGTTGGTAATGCATACTTTGGACCTAAAAGCGAGATTCATAAATCTTGGCTCTTTATTTAAAATGCTCTATTGAGGTAGGCTTCCGAGTACAATTTTATGTTTATGCCTTGAACAGGCAGATTTAATTCTCGTTAGGTATAACGTTTGCCTTTTATGTAATTTTGTTAAAATATTTAACTAGAGGTACTGTGTATATCGCTAATGATCTAATCTATAGTTTCCGTTCCAAAAGCCATCTGCAAGATTTTACTTGGCCTTAGTCCAATAAGATTGTAATTTATTATCCTCAACGCTTGTTTATGTACTAAGGATCATAATATTGCCACGCTGTTTAAAGGACCGTCATTTCCACTTAGAATTATAATAAAAAATAAACACGATTATTAAGTTCCATAATAATCGATTTAGGGGCGGTCCACAGTATCCCCTGTTTGAAGATTATTATATTTCCCAACTTTGCTTTTCATTATTTATCAATAACTTTGTGAGCTACTTCTTCAAAGGTATCAAAGGAACGTTGTCTACGTCAACTTGAAGCAGGAAGTTCGTATTTTACTATGTAAACCACTGATAGGACTGTCAAAATAACGAAACGCTATTTTAAACGGTTTTCGGCAACGAACGAGTGTCTTGGTATTTTTCCTTGTCAACCTGTGACTTAAAATACAGCATGTTTTATGAAAGTGAGTGTTGAGTCCAAAAGTCATCTCGAGAAGTGATCGCCATTCGCCATAGCTTTTAGCAAACTAGTGTATGCCTAGAATTCTGTACAAGGTTGGTGAGTACGGTGGGGTCAACACAAGAACATTGCTTTTGCAGAGATTAAAGATGAGAATTGAATGAAAGAAAAAATGAAAATTTACTTTTAAAAACATGGATAACAATTAATTTTATCATATATTATTTTTTACTCAATTGACTATACCACTCTCTACACAAACCATTTCACAAACTTCAGCAACTTTTTATAATTGTGTAACAATTTTGCTTTTCAAGTGTGATAATAATTTTAATGAAATTTCTCTTTCCACTAAATCTGAGTAGAATTTAATAAACTACAATGAAACGATATACCACAAAACTTGTTAATTACACGGTCTAATATTGCCAACTCAGATTGTGTATGAGAGCGTGAACATAATATTAGGTATAATACCAACCTAATTTGCTTCTAAGAAAGTAGTCCGTAGACTTGTCGTCTATGATAATGATATTAAGAAAGAAAAGATTAGATTGTCTGTACGTTTTTGTTTATATTAAATAATCTTTAAATCTTTAATAACTACTCGACCCGATTT